GCCCGGTCATGTTGACGTACGGGCAATGAAAAGGCAGACACTGCTGCGCGGTCAGCATACTGATACCAATTTTCCCATAGAGGTGTTCCATTTCTGGACTATTTTGCTACAATGCTGCCCACCTTCTGCCCGTTGGCAAAAAATGTTGGTCAACTCTGCTTGGAACAAAATTCATTTTATTAAAAACCCGGATAGGTTTGGCCGTTTCTTTTCACAGTGCCGGGGTTGGGAACACTCTCTCCCTCTTCGCATTGGCCACACCGTTTTTCTACGGGTATCTCTGGGGAGGCCCCGTACCTTCTGTGAGCTGTCAAGTTCCCGTATCGATTAGCCATCTTCGTAGACTGCCCCCTCTATCAACAGACGCAGAATTTACCTCCCAACGCCGTCTTCGTTCTATACTCTCTTTTACCTTCCCTTCTGTGATGGACCCCCTTTAATCCTGACTTCCCTTGACTTTTTTGACGACTGATTTACTCCGCAAACTCTGATGTGAACCTTACGCACTCCCCTCGCCCTTTCGTCGTCCTTTTCTCCCTTTACCCTTTCACCATCCCCTGCTCCGCTGTTTTCCGAACCTATTACTCATCCACCCCCCTTTTGCCACCTTGCCCTCGCTTCCCTTTCCGGCCCTGCACCGTATAGCCCCTTTTGGCTTTGCGCTTCTTTTTGATTTTAATAAAAATACGCCCCCAAGAGTGGAGTCAGGCTCTAAGTCTATCTTATATGGAGTTCCTTATACAGAAATCATTTTATCATTCTTCTCGTATGTTTTCCAATGAGTATATCCCCCCTGTGTTTAGGGGACCAAAAGTGAGCGGGGATAATCTAAAGGAGGCCTCATGTGATGTAAGGCGTAAAATAATTTTGGGCTTCGTTTTTATACTTCCCGAAATAAATCCTAGTAATCTGTTAATTATTGTGCACACTTAGGCATGCTGTCTTGGAGTTAGATTTCTGCTTACCCTGACTCCCAAGTCTTTCACTTCTGTAATCAAGCTCTACTTTCCCCAGTTTATAAAATTTTGAGGGGTTTTTTCATTACCAAGGACTAGACTTTAACTTGGGCCACACTAAATTCATTTGCCATTTTTCAGACCAAGAAAATTTTTTCCAATCCTCCTGAAGCTCAGGTTTTTCCTCAGAATGAAAATAGGGCCCATTTTTTATCAAAATCTTCATGTCACTTTAAATTTCCCTTTATCGAGGTCATTTAAAGTCAATTTGAACAAGAGAGGGCCCCTAAAATGTCTTTGGAATGCCCCAGTGACTAAAACCCCATTCAATTTTCCCCATTAACCTTTTCAGGGTCGGCAGGCCCCCTCCCAAACTTGTTCTGGGTTGGAAATTTTTCGGAAAAAAAAAAAAAAAAAAAAATTCTTATGAAAGATAGAGAATCTTTTCCCAATCTAATGACACCAAAAGTATGAAATTTGATGGAAAACTTACAGAATTTGCTCTCGCGAAGTTAGTGGTCCGACGATGTTTACGCTCGGCGATTTCGCCCCCCTGACCCCATTATTAGTCCCAATTTCCCAAAGTACCCGCGACAAAAATTACCATTTCCTGAACTCCATTTTTTCTATCGAATGATACAAGAAACCCCCCATTTTCCGTTTCAACTAACCCAAAACGTGGGCAAAATTTTGGGAATTTTGTCAATTTTGACAAATTCAAAAGATGCCAAATTTTTGAATGGGGCCAGGGAAAAAAAAAGACAGACATTCCTGGGCCCCTAAAAAACTTCCTCTGATTATCACATCCCCAGGCCTCTGCTACATTTCTTTTGCTTTCCACTTTGAATTTTTATTCTCACAAAAAATAGAAGATTTATGTTATGCAGACTATTGCATTTGTGTAGAAATGGTATAAATAATATCAGCGCACTTGTGAAAGAATATTAGACTCACCAGTTGTCGTATATTGGATGCGTGGCATGATTTGTTTACCTTTGAACTTTGGCAAAAATCGAACATTTCTGCTACTTTGAGCTCAATTTCAAGGTACTTTCCATTGTGAAACCAATCAAAATCATCTCAATTTCCATGATATGTCTTCCATTCTATAAAATGAGACCAGGAAAACTATAATACAATCATAAATAGCATGCGAAAATGCACTGCAAAGTCGGTGTTTTAAACCAAAAACACAGTTTTTTTTTCATTATGCACTGTGTGCTGCAGGATTTTTTTTTTTTTTATACTGCACACACTGACCACAGACCCATTCTTTCATATGTAGGCCTACCAGCTTTCTCTCGCTAGATTTGAGGGCATTAGAATTTATGCATACTAGTATGGCACCAACCCTGAAAGGGTTAATGGAAACTGCTTTCTGTTGGTAAGCCATGCCTCTATCCATGCTAGAACTTTACCTACTATACCATGAGCTGCCACTTTTCTTAAGAGTCTCTTCTGAGGTACTCTATTGAAGGCTTTACTAAAATCCAAATAAACAATATCATATTCTTTATCACTGTCTACTGCCTCAAATGTTCTACTGAAGAATGTCAGTAAATTTGTCAGGTAGGAATGACCTTTTGTGAACCCATGCTGAGATTCATTAATCAAATTATGCTCTTCAAGGTGACTTCTAATAATATGAGCTATAATTGATTCTAATAATTTGCCTACTATAGACGTCAGGCTTATTGGACGGTAATTTGAAGGAATGGACTTATCTCGATTTGAATATAGGAACCACATTAGCCATCTTCCACATCTCTGGCACAACACATACTTTGGAAGATTGTCTTCCTTTTAGTCATAACACCAGGAGCACAAATAGGCACTCTCCATGCGCACTAGAGTTCAAAGGGACATGCGAGGCTCTAAGAAGACGAGTCTAGCTTCAATCTCACCCTTGTCTAGGTTTCTTACAAACAATGGAATCCATAATTTCCATTACTTTCTGGTTAACATTATGATTTGAGGGATTTCTGGGGGTTTCACTTTCTGCCCTGTTGGGGCATTAGAGAGAGGAAGAGCTGAAGGACTGAAGATAGACTGGCCTCAACACCAACTCTTAGCTGATTTTGATATGGTTATGACATTTCATCTCGTCTCAGGTCTACTTGAGCAACAGCCTTTCCCACAAACCATTCATTAGTCTTAACCCTTTGACTGTTGCAAGCCCCTTTCCTAAGAGATATATAGATAAGATTAAGTTTAATTTTGCCCAGGACTATGCACACCTGATGCCTTTGTCCCTGTGGTCTCCTTCCCAGGATGTCAAAAAAAGGTTCCTATGTTAATTCCCACTGTTTCAGATCTATGTACTGAATGACAAAACTTTCAGAGGAGCCCTCCTTATTTAAAGTGATCAATTCAAATCACATAAAGCACATTCTCGCAAGGTTCATGCTTACTGTACCCTCTAAGGTATCCGGCCAGGCATAAGCAAGACTATAAATTTGAGGGGCAAAGTGGTACCCAACCAAGTCTTCGGACTATAGAAGTGTTATGGTACAGCCACACAGTATAAATGTTATAAACAATCATGCCTATGCGACCCAACAGTATCTGTGAAGTCTAGGTCAGGGTGAGTAAAGTTGTATGACTCGCAAAGTACTAGAATCGGTAGGTTATTCAGTGCTTTAAACATGAAAAGCTGTTAATCAGTCAATATCCCAAACCCCTCCTTTAAAGTGCAGACATCATACTTCCTACATCCAGAACTCAAAGTCTAGCCAACCAGATTTCCTAAATCCCTTCACAAAATATTACCCTGCTCACACTCCAACAACTCATCAGGTCCCATAAACCATTCATCTCCATTCACTACTAAGTAACAGGCTTGCACATGCCTGCTGCATGTCCAAGCCCCTTGCACACACAACCTCTTTTACCCCCTCCCTCCATCCTTTATCATCACACTAGTGTATAATCAAACAATTTTAAACATTAGTAATGATGAAAGGGAAAATTATCCTATTATAGAAGGGTCCTGCTTTACAGCACTTTGCTTTACTGCTTTTCACTATTGCAGCAGTTTTCAATATAACCATTCTTCATTTATTAAGACTTCCTAAAATAAATATATTCACCACTTACTATAAGCTAAGGATGAAAATATTTTAAGGTAAGTAATGTGTGTATTGTATATGCATTTTTAAGGCCTGGCTTTATTGCTCACTTAGTATACGTATAATAGTGTAAACGTGAGTGAAAAATAGGCTATGATTCATTCTAGAGCTACGAACCTAACCTGCTGTATAAGTGGGGGCCCTCCGGTATTTAGGAAAACTTACAAATCAACATGCACTATCTTTACTTCTCTTTATTTCTTATTAATTCTCCCATTCCCTAGATACTGTATGACCCCTCAGGTTTAGCACTCCCCCATAAGTGAAATACTATACTGTAATGATCATAACTGAGGCATCTATGGAGACAGAGATGCCATATTTGAGGGCACTGCGTGTGAATATTATGCAGAGAATTTGTAGTTTGGAGATTAGGAGTTACAGGAATTACTAAAAGTATTATCCAGAGAGGTTATTGAAGTGGTTTGAACATTTAGAGAGGAAGCAAAATAGAATGACTTGAAAAGTGTATAAATCTGTAGTAGAGGGAAGGAAGGAAAGGGATAAAACAATGGAATGGGTTAAAAGAAGAGGTAATAAGAGTTATAACCACTTGAAATAATTTTTTTGTGACATTAAATACTAAATCTTAGCTCTGATTCTGTAGCTATAAACACTGCTGGGTTTGAAATATTGTATACCACAAATGTTATTTCAGCAAGCCAGTAATGTATTTCTAATAATTAATATTTTTGTACAGTATTTATTGAAATATAGATTTTGAGTCTTTTAGTTATTTCATAACCAGATAATTTTATCACACCATGTGTTCATTCAAGTAATGGGCAAACACATGAGGTAGTGAACCAAGATCCTGAGTACATGAAGGATGGAGACTTGAGCAGTGACTGTATTGGAAAAGTTTATGAAAAAAAGGTTAAATTAGTTTTCAGTGTTAAAAAGCACAAATGCTCACCCCTGGTCTATTTCTCATTTCTCTTGCTCTGTTAATTATCATCTGCTGCTCCCACATTTCAATCTGTTCTTGGCGCTGTAACTCCAATGTTGCTCCAGCTGGACCCTCTGGGGGAGGTGGGGATGCTAAAAGTCGAGCAAGTGTTGCACTTGCACCTCGAGCTAGCCAACCTGGCACCCACGGAACTTGCTGTATATATAGTATGTTGTAACGATAGAAAATTCCTGCAATCTGAAAGCATGTTTAAAATAAAAATCCACATCAAGACATAAATAATTATGAACATTATATAATTAGTGATATGCATAACTAGTAGTGCAAAAATGTCATGCATGTACACACACACACACACAAACATACCTCAATGGCAAATAATTTTTAAATTATTAAAAAGGAGCAATTAAAAAATGATAGACTATCTGGGAAAGCAACACAGTAACAAATAAACAAACTGGTTTTAGATCATCAAAATTATGCACATAAATTTTGCCAAATCTTTATGTAGTTTCAAAAATCCTATAAGAAATGCATTTCTAATAAGTACAGTAGTGTATTTAGATTCATTAAAACAATTTATATACAGTAACTCCCTATAATAGACTTCATTACAATGGAAAGATTTTTCTATTGGAGAGAAAAATGTGTTGCCATGGGCCTAGGTGTGTTGCCCTGAGCCAGGAGTGTGTTGCCGTGAGCCAGGGTGTGTTGCCGTGAGCCTGGGTGTGTTGCCCTGTGCCAGGGGTGTGTTGCCCTGTGCCAGGGGGTGTGTTGCCCTGAGCCAGGGGGTGTGTTGCCCTGAGCCAGGGGGTGTGTTGCCCCAAGCCAGGGGGTGTGTTGCCCCGAGCCAGGGGGTGTGTTGCCCCGAGCCAGGGGGTGTGTTGCCCCGAGCCAGGGGGTGTGTTGCCCCGAGCCAGGGGGTGTGTTGCCCTGAGCCAGGGGGTGTGTTGCCCTGAGCCACGGTGTGTGTTGCCCTGAGCCAGGGTGTGTGTTGCCTGGAGCCAGGGTGTGTGTTGCCCGGAGCCTGGGTGTGCGTTGCCCGGAGCCAGGGTGTGTTGCCTTGAGGCTGGGCATGTTGCCCTGAGCCTGGGCGTGTTGCCCTGAGCCTGGGCGTGTTGCCCTGAGCCTGGGCGTGTTGCCCTGAGCCTGGGCGTGTTGCCCTGAGCCTGGGCGTGTTGCCCTGAGCCTGGGCATGTTGCCCTGAGCCTGGGCATGTTGCCCTGAGCCTGGGCGTGTTGCCCTGAACCTGGGTGTGTTGCCGTGATGCAGGCTACTGCATTAATGAAGATAATTTGTCTATAATCACTAGTCACTCCATGTTGGACGTTTAATACACATCCAACTGGCCGTTTAATACGCGTCCCTCTGACCGTCTATTACATGTCCACTCAAAACTCTGACATTATATATACATTTATGGAGCATTATCCCCACAATACACCTTACAATATATGTATACAAATTATCTTCACATTAATGCAGTAGCCTGCATTACAGTTGCCATGAACCTTGGTGTGTTGTCAGTGATTCAGTCTGTTCACAGAATTTGTGCACTCTCTCTCTCTGTATTCTGGCAATTTCTTGAAGTTTCAAATTCACCATTCACTATGTACAAGCTAAGGACAAAAATATTTTAAGGTTAAGTTATGTGTGTACTGTACATTCATTTTACTTTCATATTTTTTTAAAACTAGTTCTATTGCACACTTAATATATGATAGTGTAAACATGTTGTCGGGCCTTTTTTTTTTTTTTTTTTTTTTTTCAACAAGTCGGTCGTCTCCCACCGAGGCAGGGTGACCCAAAAAAGAAAGAAAATCCCCAAAAAGAAAATACTTTCATCATCATTCAACACTTTCACCACACACACATTATCACTGCTTTTGCAGAGGTGCTCAGAATACAACAGTTTAGAAGCATATACGTATAAAGATACACAACATATCCCTCCAAACTGCCAATATCCCAAACCCCTCCTTTAAAGTGCAGGCATTGTACGTCAGGCCTTTATACGTATTTAAAAGTGAAAAAAATTGTTATTCACTTTACACTAGTAGCCTGGAACCTAACCCATTATATAATCAGGGTCCTCTGTATTTCTGTTACTCTGAGCCCAATTTCCAGCTACATACTTCCTCTCATGAACCAACGAAAATCATCTCTATATCAGCAGTATGTCTTCCATTCTATCAGTGATATCAAGAAACAGCAAATAAAACCATAAAAACATGCTAAAAAACACCCAGTGTTTTAAACAAAACACTGGGTCAGAGCATTGCTTTTTCTCATCATGCACTGCATGGGGCAGAATTTTTTTATTATGCACAAACTATGCAGACCCACTCTCTCACATTTAGGCCAAAATTTACTGCTCATAGCTTATCTAAGTGAGATGAGGTTATGACATAAAACTATGTGAAGGACCCTGGCCTCAATGGGACCCTGGCCTGAAAGGGTTAACATGAATCATGTTAAATGCTTTGCACTTAGCATGACTGCTGGTCTTTTCTCTCTGTCTCTTGAACATGTAAGATGACAGGTAAATCCTACAAGCTTCTACTTATATTAAGTATAAAATTATTTTTACTTTCCTATTACTGAAAAGGTCTTAATTCTAAAATATCTATTTTCCAAATTACAAGGCCTTGTGTAAAACTGGGCAGTAGGGGCAACAATCCCCAAACCATTAAGAGAACAGATTTTAACACAATATAATTTCATTTGCCTAATTTATCCATATCTTGCAAATGTTTTTACATCAGTTGGTATTTTACATGCGATTTTGCATCATCGGCAAAAATTCATCAAGTACATGTACTTTACTCCAGACTAGACATTCACAAAAATTGAGAATATTATTGGGATTTGCCAAAAGCATGCAGATATGACAGTTAGACGTCTCTAAACAGCAAATATTCCAAACCCCTCCTTCCGAGTAAAGACACTATTTCCCACCTCCAGGACTCAAGTCCAACTAACCTCTCTAGTTATACTGTTTAACCCTTTGAGGGTTCATCCCATAGTTCTACGGCTTTGAAGCCAGGTTCCAAGCTGTAGCACTACGTCATGAGCTCAGCTCAATTAGATAAGCTGTGAGTGGTAAATTTGGGCCTAGATATGAGAGAATGCATCTATGTGGTAAGTGTGCACCATATAAAACAAATCCTGCAGCACACAGCACAGTACATTTCAAAGTAGCAGAAATGTTCGTTTTTGACAATGTTCAGTAAACAAATGACGTCACGCAACCAATACATGTCGGCTGGTGGGTCTAATGTGCGTTCACAAATGAGCTGATATTATTTATACACTATTACAATATTGCATAACAGTAAATCTTCCATTTATTGGTGTGAATAAAAATTCATTGTGAATATAAAATCAAAATGGAATTCATCTGTAAAGCCTAGAAACATAACTAATAAACTGAGAAATGTTACCTTTATTGCCAGGAATGCCTGCATTGTTTATTCTGGACCCTATTTTGAAAATTGAATATTTTGAACTTTGTGTGAAATTGGCCAAATTACCAATTTCCGATCACTTTATTGGGTAGTTAAAATAGCTGACTGGGAGATTTCTTGTGCTCAATCGATAAAATAGATGTAATACTAGTGAAATAGCTATGCATTTGGTCGACTGGAATAATGTAAATGGCTTAATATGGGAGTCAAAGCGGGCAAAATCACCAATGCGTAAAAATCGCTGACGCAGGAAAATTCACAAGAGCGCAATTTCGTCAATTTCCCATAAAATTTCATACTTTTTGTTTTATTACCTTCAGGAAAAGATTCTCTACCATTTTTCATAAGAAAAATTAACAAATTTTTTTTTTTAAATTCTTGGACCCTGTGGACAATTTTCAGATCGGGGGTCTGGACCCTGAAAGGGTTAAATAAATTCCATTGCATTTGGTTAAGGTAATTTGAACTTTGTATAACTTGTAAGCCATTTCCCTGAAGAAAACTCACCATCAGTGATAATATAAAATTAAGTTATTTTTGACAGCTAATTCCTTCCATGCCTCTTTATGTACTCGTTACATAATTATCACCTAATTACATCTTTCACTCATTTTATTGTATATACAATATTATAAAAATTTTCCTCAAAGGATAACTGACTTATCAGTAAATGGATAAATGACAAGTAAACAACAACAACAAAAACCACTTACAATGCCTGAAAAAGCTGATATTGCTGTTGCAGCTGATGTAGAACACACTTGTAATCCCAATAAATATGTGAGAGTTTTCCCAGTGATTGGGATACCTAAGACGCTCGTCTGGGCTACTCGTGGAATATCAAACAGATAGTTTACAAACAATGGAAATATAACACCATATCTGAAAAGTCAAAACAGGAAATAACATTTACTACATAACAGATTAAATTACAGTTTTACTGTTTACATAAATTTCTTGATCTCCAGAACAATTTGCATCTGTATATATTCACACACACAAAAGTGTGATGATTATAAAATATTAGTTACTCAAGGCCAGTAAGACTTACAAAACTACAGAAATAACAGACTCTTAAAAATCTTAAATCATGATAAAACTTGCACAAAAAAGTTTGTTATATCTGAATATACTGTCATTTTTCCATGTACAGTATAGTACAAAACATTTTATTATATTTTGTGAATACAAGCACTGTCTTACATCTACCACAAGAACTTATTACACATAATTTTCCTATAAATTTATAGAAACATCATTAGATGTGGATTGTTCACATATTTAAAGTGCATTAAATATTTCTCATCTCTACCCAATATACCACTATCAAAGTGATCATGGGTATATAAAGAAATGTCAGAGACCACTTACAGAAAGTCATAAGGGTGGCTTGATAGCTCCTCTGGAAATGTTCTCCAAAGGTTTAAAAAACATTTATGTCAAAATTCATATTTAGAACAGGCAGCCATCCACTTACGATAAGGAAAGTGACTGACTATCGTGCAAAACCTAGAGGTTATAAAGGGATTATCTTGAGCAACTACTGTAGCATTTTCCACACAAATACTGTCTTCCTCTCTCTCTCTACATCTGTGACAGTGATACTGTACCTGACCTAAGAATGTGTGCAAAGGAAAATACAGTATTGGCAATCAGGAAAGGCTACTCCCAGTCTCGTCTATGACTTCTTGACAAAATAAGAGAACAGAGCAAGACAACTCATCTCTTGCCTGAACCAAACCTGAACAAATCTGTCATTTCAGCAGAGCCCTCAACACCGAAGGAATGTGTGTGGCCTTACTGTTATGTATAAGGCCAATGTTGTCAAGGTACCACATATGACTAATACCAGAGAGAGCAAAAAGTGAGCTTTTATAAAACAAGATGGGCAGCAAACAGCAACTACACTATGACTGTGCCTTTCCCAAGAACATCACTTCATCTGAGATCACTTTATTCCTAGGATGGCTTAAATCTGGAAGATGCTCATAATGCATAATGACATCAATGAAATAAAGTCAGTAACAAGTGAAATCACTGGTCCACAGATGGCTCCAACTTCTGTGTTAATGTTAAACAATTAAGTTCAAACAAACATTTTCTATTGCTAAGCAGAGTACATTATTGGTAATAAATAATGAAGCTCAAACATTTATGTAACAGAGTACAGTGGACCCCCGGTTAACGATATTTTTTCATTCCAGATGTTCGTTCAGGTGCCAGTACTGACCGAATTTGTTCACATAAGGAATATTGTGAAGTAGATTAGTCCATTTCAGACCCCCAAACATACACGTACAAACGCACTTACATAAATACACTTACATAACTGGTCGCATTGGGAGGTGATCGTTAAGCGGGGGTCCACTGTACATGTATTTGTGTTCAACAATAAAGCTGAAGCATAGCTCGGATAAGTTTATTTTGGGATGGAATTAAAAATGAAAATTCTAACATGCAATTTTTTTATACTTTACAAACAGAGGTGTTTTTCTCTTAATTGTATTTGTAAAAGAAAACTAAAATGAATTAGTGGGCCCACTGATACTTCAGCCAAGGTTTGACAAACATGCAGTAATCCTCAGTCTCAAAAAAAAAAAAAAAAAAAATGTATCAGTATTACCAATTATTCCCATTTAAAGCACTGTTATAAATCCCTTATTATCTTTTTCTTCACAATCTTACCCAATTTTCCCATTACTCCCAATTTACAAATATTAAATTAATGTTCCTATTACATTATTGTGCAATTCCTTGTACCATCTTTTACTAGCTAGTACCAACTACCTCGTATACTATTTCTTTTTGTGCTATTAATTGCTCAAATTTTATGCTATAAGGCAAATCTTACTCCCAAATTTACTATCATAGTTACTATCTATCCATTTAATTTTGTTTACTACTACTTAATTTAGTCCCTTTATATACAGTAGAACCTCTACTTTCGAGTTTAAGCCGTTTCATGACCTTGCTCGCAAGTGGATTTGCTCGTTTGCAGAGTCAATTTTTCTCATTTAAATTACAATTGAAATGCAATTAATCCGTTCCAGTGGAATTCTGTACTTCAATAATTTTGCTACTATCAACCTTACGGCTTATTTATCTATCTCACGTGATCTAATATGACATAATAAACAATATAAATAACATAGAAACCTGCTATATACTCTAAAATGAATAAAATATGTAATTCATGTAGTGGTATGGGTGGTGTCAGCAGTGGACAACAGTTTGTCTGGAGACCAGACAAAATACCTCTTGAATAATTTCGCTAATATCATCTATACGGCTTATTTATCTATCACAGTTCATCTAATATGACATAACAAACAATATAAATAACACAGAAACCTGATACTATATCATAGCTAAATTTAAATCAAAAGACCTGCAAAAACCCCTCACAGTTATAAACATCTACAGAGTACCACATTCCAACATTTACCACTTTAGTGAAAAATTAGGAAACTTGACAACTGATGCACATATGAACAAAGACAACCTGCTGCTAACAGGAGATTTCAACATAAATCTACTACATGACCAGGACCCACAAGTGACTGAATTCACAAACACTATGAGCAACTGCTTGTTGCTACCAACAATATCTAAACCTACAAGAATCTCCAAGACCAGTTTCTCTTTAACCCGTAAACGGTACAAACATATATATATGTTTTTTCAACATTTGAAAGTATGTAAAAAAAGTAGATCTTTTTTTTTTGTTACATTTGAAAATATGTAAAAAAAACGTAGATCTACGTACTTTTGTAGCACTACACATGTGAACGTAGATCTGCTTGGACTGTTTACGGGTTAATAGACCACATCTGGACTAACACCATATCCCCTTTAAAATCAGGCATAATCACAGACAACACCATAGACCACTACCCAACCTCTTTCATAACCAAGCTAGGTAAATTGCCCCAAGACATTACTAAAGTTACCTTCAGACTACATAACGAGACAGCTGTAAATAACTTTATAGCAGCTATGAATAACATCAACTTGCAAAATGAGCTTGAAACATATACAGATATGAATGAATGTATAAATAATTTTCTAAAAAATGCTCATTACCTCTATAACAAACATTGCCCTAAAAAACTAAACAGATCACAGCTAAGAGACTGAATAGTCCCTGGCTAACACCCAGCATCCTTAAATCCATTAACACAAAGCACCAATATGAAAAACAGTACAGAATGGGTTAAATAACTAGAGACCAATCAAAACGTTACTCGTCAGCTCTTACCAGCCTCATAAGAAGGTCTAAAAAATTGTATTATGAAAACAGATTACAAAACAACAAAGGTAATATGAAAAAGACCTGGAAAACTATCTGAAATTCTTGGAACTAAAAAGATATCCAAAAACAAAAATCAAATTAACAAAATCAGATGAACCCCTACTCCCACCAACTGAAACAGCAGACAGACTCAATGTTTTCTTCTCCACCATAGGAAAGAACCTAGCAAGCAAAATCCCAAACTCAAACAACCGTCCATCAGATTACCTCACGAGCACCTACCCAAACACACTATTCCTAGCTCCAACCAACCCAACAGAAGTCTCGCTCATCATTAACACCCTTAAAAACAAGGCAGGAGACATAAACAACTTGCCAACTTTTATGTACAAAAAAGCTTCTCAAGTATTCTCACCAATTATTGCAACACTCTTCAACAAATCCATTGAATCCTCCACCTTCCCAACAATTCTCAAAATAGTGAGGGTCACTCCGATACACAAAGGAGGTGACCAAGCTTACTTGAATAACTAGACCAATATCTAATTTACCACTCCTCTCTAAAATCTTTGAAAAATTAATTCATAGACGGATCTATTCCTACCTCATCTCACATAACACACTAAACCCCTGTCAGTTTGGATTTAGGAATCATAAAAGCACAAATGATGCTATCATACACATGCTAGAACTAATAATACCACTCTCGAAAAGAAAGAAGTCCTGCTGGGAATTTTCATTGATTTATGTAAAGCTTTTGATACAGTTGACCATGAACTGCTGTACACTAAATTAACACACTATGGTATAAGGGGCCACTCCCTCAACTACCTGAAGTCATACCTTAGTAACAGAAGCCAATAGGTGTACACAAATGGTGCAAATTCTTCCACACAACCAATCACAATAGGAGTCCCACAGGGAAGTGTCCTTGGACCACTCCTCTTTCTCATCTACATCAATGACCTACTGAATTCATCACAGCTACTCAAACCCATATTATTTGCAGATGACACTAAATATGTCTTCTCTCACCCAAACTCAGTCATACTCGCCAACGCAGTCAATGCCGAATTGCAGAAAATATCTGCCTGGATGATGACTAATAAACAAACTGAATACTGACAAAACCTACTTCATTCAGTTTGGAAACAAAGCTGCAAATGTTTCACTTAACGTAACGCTAAACTGATCACCCGTCACAAGACTCGTGGAAGGAAAATTCCTAGGAATCCACTTGGACAGTAGCCTCAAGTTCCAGACACATATACAACAAATAACCAAGAAAATCTCCAAGACTGTAGGCATACTATCTAAGATATGAAACTATGTTCCACAATCAGCTCTCCTTGCACTGTATCATTCACTCATCTACCCTTATCTCACATGTGGAATTTGTGCATGGGGATCAACAACACTAAATCATCTAAGATCACTAATAACCCAGCAAAAGGCAGCAGCCAGAATGATAAATTCCCACTCCCGACAGCATACTCCTCCAATATTCAAAAGTCTAAATCTGCTCACCATTAAGAACATTCATATTTATTCATGGGCCTATTAAATACATAGAACAATACACTCAAACTTTTCCTCACCAATCTTAACCCTTTCAGGGTCCGTCCCGTAG